TATACAAATACAGGCCATTTACCATGAAAAGCACAGCAGCAACAGCAGTCACACTTTGCATTGTTTTTAACACTTCAGTTCTTTGTGTGTTAGAACTCCACTAAAAAAACACGAGCAGTGGGGGCTCACAGGCCGGTCGTCTCCTTCTGGTAACAGAGCTCACTGCAGGCAGACGGACAGACCCTTGAGTGGAGCGGACACTCGCTGTCCTTGGTGCTGAAACATCTGAGCCCCACTCTGAGCTTCAGCACCAATGAGCCCACAGACAAAGTAATAGTCCAGTCATCGTCCTCTCAGAGTGCAGGCGGCCTTGACTCTCAGTTACTCACACCTCAGTGCTCTGAGGATGAGGTCAGCGTTCAGCTGCTGGGGCCTACAAATATGTACAGTACACACTTTAAATAGAAATAAGTTTCTCATCCATCAGTCATAAAATCATTGTATAATCCACACTGATGTCTATATCACAGCCAAATGTGGGCCAAGAAATATGTATGTATGTGTTGATTGGATGGGTTGTTAGTGACATCTGGTGTTAGTAAGAACCCCTTAAACCCAAGTCAGAAGCACCTTAAATAAATTAATTAAATAAATTAACACATTAAATAAATATAAATATATTTTCTAAGAATATTTGTAATATGTGTTTAATAATCTTATTTTACCAGCTGTACATAACCAACACATTTTACCTTACTGCAATGACCCTGTGCTATCAGAACCCTTCTTCACAATGGTTATGATTATTATTCTTTATACTGATATATTCAAAAGCTGGTGAAAATACACAGGAGGAGTCAAAAGTGCTGATCAGACCAGTGACAGCAGCAGGCTGCGTCAACTCGATGTGTAGTAACATCAGGTTACATGTAAGGTCACAGCGTAGATTTCCCACTGAAGCATAAACTGGGAATGAGAAGTGAACCATCTTAATATTGCAGTAAAACCAGGGTTAACCCTGAAGTTACCTGGATGAGACTAAATCCTGGTTCACAGTGCAAACCTCTGATCACTGATGATGGAGGAGAAGAAAAACAAATCAGGCTGAATGTAAAACATTTGCTCTGTAGGACTGAGGGAACACGTGCTGGTTTCCAGGCTTTGTTATCACTGGGTGATGGCACTGGTGCCTCACAGCAACAAGGTCCTGGGTTTGAATCCAGCACGAATTTTACACAAAACACAACATGTTTGTCATGTATATTCGTTACAGGGCAAGTTTTAAAATTGTGTTTTGTGATTTTTTGCAATGCACTTGGTGTGTAAATGCCTCAAGTCTTAATCTTAGGATATAACTCAAAACTTTATTTATAGCACTTCTCATACAGTAAAGAAGACACTCAAAGTGCTGTACACATTAAAAGCAGAAAAAATACACATACATCACCTTCACTACACCCTCACATCACCCCTCCATCCCCACTCCCACACTCAGACATCAGACACTCACTCATCAGACAGAAACACAGGAGATTAAAAATAAACAATAAATAACATTACAAGGCTACTAAGAATAGATTAAATATAATAAAAATGGAATAAATAAATGGTGCAAAAAAAGGAAATAAATGAATAGTAAATTACAATAAAGAGACATACAAAACCATAAAATGGCAAACTAAAAAGAAACAGCATGATAAATAAAAGATGGTCAACGGTCTCCTGTCTTGAGGGCTCTGAAGTGCTCGTAGCATAAAAGTAAATCAGAAAGATGAGAAGGTCCTGAACCGCTGACTGTTAAAAACCAGTAAATGAACCTTACAGACGACTCTGACTGGGAGTCAATACAGAGACTGTAACATTGGTGTAATTTGGGCTCTGGAGCTGAGTTTTGAAGCAGCTGCAGCAGCGACAATTTTTTTTTTTTTTTAAACTAGAAAGATGAACATTACAGTAATCAATCCTGCAGTAGATGAAAGCAGGAGTCAGTGTCTCTGCATTGACCTGAGAGAGAGACTGTTGCACTGCTACAATATTCTATAAATATGAAAATCAGTTATTAAATATTTTTGATGCAAAATTCAAATGTGAGTTCTGGATCAAATAAGACCTGAAGGTTTTTAACCTGCTCGCACAGGTTTAGTGGAAGAGTGAAGTTTGTTATGAAGTTTCTCTCTGAGCTTCAGAGCTATCTATACGTTTATATGTCATTTTTATAGTTAACCATGTTTAACTGGTTTTAATGTGCTCTCTCTCTCCTGTCATGGTGCTATGTTTCAGACCACTTCCTTTTTTGCTTCTTCATCAGGAGGAGGAGGAAGGGCAGGGTCCTTCTTGTGTTTTTTAGAGATCACAACAAGGAAAACAACAAGGATCACAACAAGTAACAAACCAAAATCTACCAGTTCACCATAATGTCCTCTAGCAACTCCATCTTTCTTCTCTCCATCCTCTGTGGTTCCTCCTGGTGGAGCTGCAGGTGAGAAACATGTGTGAGGTGTCAGCTGATCACATCACTCAGACCAGCTGCTTTCTACAAAGTCTCATCAACACACTCAACTCTACTCACTCACCTGGAGGAAGAACTGTCAGGTAGATGATGCTGATGAGGTCAGGGTCCACATTCGCTCTCTTCCTTCGGTTTGGTTCTTTCATGAAGACACGACACTCGTATGTTCCACTATCAGCAGTCGTCACATTGTTCAGAATCAAAGACACGTCTCCATCCTTCATCTGTCTGTCCTGCAGATCCACCCGGTTCTTAAAAGATGGATGCTGCTCTTCTGGAACAAACTGTTCATCTCTGTACATAAGGACATGTTTTGTCTCCAGGTCTGCTCTGCTCCACTCTACATCTCTGATGTTGTTGTTTGGAGCTCGACATGTCAGATTGACGTTCTGTCCAGATGCAGCTGTGATATTTTTCTGGTCTGAAAGAGGAAACAACACAGAACAGAAAAATACCGTGGAAATATACCTTTAAATTATTTTATTATTTTTATATTTCATTTAAAAATTCTTTATAAAGATGTGTTTAAAATGTGTAATGTTCTGTCTGCATATTTGTCACAGTTAAATGGTTCAAATGAGCCAAACTTTAACATTAGACAGATAACTGATTCCAGACACATTGATCTCTACTCTCTCACCTGGAGGATCAGAGACACTCAGGTAGATGCTGCTGGATATCCATGAGCGCGTTTCTCCCATGAAGACACGACACTCATATGTTCCACTATTAGCAGTCGTCACATTGTTCAGAATCAAAGACACGTCTCCATCGTTCATCTGTCTGTCCTGCAGATCCACCCGGTTCTTAAAAGATGGATGCTGGTTGTCTGGATCAAACTGCTCATCCCGATATGAAAGCACATATTCGTCTCCCAGGTCAGCTCTGCTCCACTCTACAACTATGATGCTGCTGCTGTTGTTGTTTGGAGCTCGACATGGTAGCATGACACTCTGTCCAGACTCAACTGTGATGTTTTTCTGGTCTGAAAGAAGAAACAACACAGAGCAGAGAGGTTAAAGGTCAGAGTGTTTAGATCAAACAAATTTTAATATTAGAAAAAGATTATTTATCCCGTTAAAAAGTCTCATTATCATAAAAAATTTGCTTTTTTAAGAGTAATCTGACCAAGAAGCCAGCAGAAAATGCAACAAATATAATTGTAAGATATGTTTGCACTGATTGCCGATCACGCTTCAACTGAGTCGTCCTCGGTCAGAAGGAATGGTACTCCACAGTGATGTAGTTCAAATCACTTTAATAAGGAGGTGGCAGATGACATCAACAGGATGTATAGCGTTGGTAGGGAGGCGATTGCATTACAGTATTCACATGCAGGTAAAGGGGGTGTGAGTGTGTATATGGGTGTGTGTGGTCATCTGTAAACAGAAAGAACAAACATTTGTATTAACTACTATGGATAGCAGTTTACCCCTTATACAGTACTGTGGGTTTCCAGCGTAATGTTATACAATCTGCCATAACCTCATGGCCACTAGATGGCACCCTAGGACCATAAATGAATTTCTGGCTCGTACATACATTGGCAAACCAGACCTCTGCAGATTACAACGATTCAGAGAATAAACATAGTAAGTAGTTACATCCACCTACAACCACAATGCTTGACAGTAAGTCGTATATGAAATGAAATATGGGCTGAACACAAGGCTGCCTGTAGTAGGCCAGAAAAACGCATCTTAGCGATAGCAACGGGACTAGCTTCTTACACAGATTACACAGTATTACACAGATAAAGTCAAACGAGCATCACTCTCATCTTACAATACTCACATGGTAAGCACGCACACAGTATTAGCCCACACAGGAACGCAAGTAAATACGTTACTCCTCCGACACACCTCTCATCTGAGCAGAACTGCGCTGAACACGTTCCCAACCGGAAGTACAGATACCGAGGTGCATCATGGGTAACGTAGTCTAAAACCGTTACAGTGAACAAGCGGACTTTTAACAATAATAGTTCTATAACGATATTTTAAGTGGCCAAAAGGGTCTTGACTGTTTATAATGTAGGCACAATAACACAGAGTCATTAAGATGCTTGAAAAACGGTTAATATTTAACTTTTATTAATACAATCCGTTTGTATATCATGTGCGGTAAAAGTATATTAGACGTCAAAGATAAAAACACACTGAAATATTGGCACAGCCCCGGTGGAGCTAGAGAGCATGAAGTTACGATTGAGACAAGAGTGCGGCCTAACCCACGGGGAGTCATTCTCCTCTGTTTTCTTGGCAACTAGAAGCAACTTTTAGCCAAAATGCTCCCACATTTGATTCGAGAGAGAAAATAAAACCCTTGCAGCGTCACGCAAAGCGGGACAGTTGATCACTGTAATCAAGCCGCTGTTAGAGAGAAACGGAGCAACTTCTTACCTCTAAGAGCGGCTTTCCCTCCAGCTGTGGATAAGCGGTTGGCAACCTAGGACAACCAATAGCGATTTTCCTTACTGGTTGGCAACACTGCCCCCAGCTGTTGAACGTGCGATACAGGCGATTAACTTTAAATCAAAACGCGGGACATGTCCTTCACATTTGATGCGCGAGAGAAAAAAAAAAAGATAAAATACCTACAGTGTCGCGCAAAGCGGGACATCTGGCCACACGGCGCTGTTAGAGAGGATGAATGAGAGGAAACGGAGCAACTTCTTACCTCTAAGAGCGGCTTTCCCTCCAGCTGTGGATAAGACGAGCAGGAAGATAAACGCCAAAACGCATTTAACATTCATTGTGTCTGAAAGAAACTCTTTCTAAATATATGTTTTTAATCGTGCTGTCGGATCAAGGCATGCTGGTCTGAGTAAATGTTAGTAAATAGTTTCCTGCTTTGAGCTCACGTGGTCTTCGTGGGTGAAGCACCTCCCCCCAGCTGTTGAACGTGCGATTCAGCGTCACTGAAGTAAATGGAGATTTAAGACAGCGGCACCCGAGGCGATTAACTTTAAATCAAAACGCGGGACATGTCTTTCACATTTGACACGCGAGAGAAAACAAACTAATAAAATACCTACAGTGTCGCGCAAAGCGGGACATCTGATCACTGTAATCACGGCGCTGTTAGAGGGAAACTGATGAATAAGAAGAAACGGAGCAACTTCTCACCTCTAAGAGCGGCTTTCCCTCCAGCTGTGGGTAAAACGAGCAGGAAGATAAACGTCAAAACGTGTTTACCTCTCATCGTATCTGAAATAAAATCTTTCTGAAGCTATGTTTCAGTGGTGCTGCTGGCGGATTGTTGAGCTAGTTAATAGTTATGCCCTCATTGTCATCTGTTGGGATTTTATTTTGAACGGATGCTTCCTGTTATGCTGCAGAGTGCACGCGAGAGTTCAATAAACAAAGTTACCTTTTTGGTGTGAATGTTCCGGTAAAAGCCGATACCCCACGTGTGATTATTCCTCCGACTAAATAATAAGTATCTTCAATATTAATATTCATGCAGATCCTGCTGGAAGACCCGTCTCTGCTAACACGGATCAACACTTATTAAATAAGCCCCTCCTTTCACCAGAGAGTCAAGACAGAATCGTTGTTATAAATTAACTGGTGATTGACGGTCAAACACATGTGTTTATTTTTACTTTTCGCTTCACTGAAAAACCAGAAAATAAAAGTGTTTCTTTGTGGTTTTTAAACACTACGAGTGTTTAATATGTTAAATCTAGTAAAGCAAAAATGAACACT